TTCTTGTACTGCACGAAAAAAAAACAAGTTAATCCAAATAGACTATATATAAAGAAACGAATACTAAGAACGATTAAAGTAAAGAAAACTATCTATTTTGTTTATTTTCTACGTAACGAAAAGTACTACACATTCGTCAGTGGAACATCAGGGGTAAAATATTTAGTCCATAATCCGTTAGATTGCTTTTAAATCAGTGCCTTCTTATTATTTGTGTCTTTAGGTCTGGTCAGTTGGTCTGTGTCGTTTCAACTGACACGTGCCACGTGCTAATATTCGAGCAGGGAGACATGTAATCCCTAAAGTAATTTTAAAAATACATTGATTGTTATCGACCTGGAGTCAAAACATTATTAAATGTAAAATTTGAAATGCTGTAAATCCATACATGGAGGTCTTATGGACAACTTTACTGTTAGCAACAAATAGACAAGGCACTGAGGATGATCTGTTCAGATTGAAAACGTTCTGCCAGAATTTAAATGTGGACGATACTTTTATAAAGTTTTAAATATTTAACAAAAAGAGAAATCGTACGATTTCTACCTGGCGAAATCGAATCGCCACGGAGTAGTGGCTATACCGTACTAAGGAGACCTAAAGAGGTCGAAATACGTATATGCGGCTTGTCGCTGCTCTGTATTGAATCAAAATCTTATACCGTCATTGTGTTTTAAATATTTGTTTGTTTTTGTACCACAATACACATGTGTGAAGTGTTTTAACTTCTGTGTTTTTTTATGCTTAAATATTTTTTTATAAAGAATTTGATATATCGCGTCAGTTTTTCATCAGCGGATACAGCTTATTTTTATTGTATTGTCAAGTGAGCTTGCATATTTGAAGTTGGGTTGGTGTAGCATTTACGCTACTGATTAGTGCAATATTATTAGAGTTAAAAATTGTATTAATAAAACCCCTCACGAAATTTCTTATGACCCGCCCGCGAACGACATTTTTCCGCACACGCGCAAGGATCACTTTGGAGGGAAAGTTAATCGAGTTTATACGAGAACGATCAGTTTTGGTCAGAACTCGTATACGCAGACACGCCAACCGGTGAGTTTTTCTCACGTTCAAAGTGACGGAATTGGAGCAAATAAAATCGAGGACAAGAATAAAAAATATATAATTCAATAATAATAATAAGTAATTTTTTTTAATAAAATTAAGATTCATTTATAAGAGTTCCACATAAAAAGGAAGATTTTTTTTAGCGTGCTGCGGCTCCATGTAAGTAAATCATTTCATACGTATTATCTCTTTATCATATAATCAAATTTGTCATTGCAGTTTAGTATTTCCTTAGAGATTTATTTTTGAGTTCCGAAATAATTTAAATTTAAAATTTCCTTGATTCACTCGCAAAGACCATAAGGTCATTTTTTATATAGTCAAACTTAAATTCTGTTTTAATCCACGTCGTATCATTAGGGTTTTTTGTTTTCTTTTTTTTTTCTCTAACTTTTTTTGATGGAATATAATAGGCTCTACAATTATTGAACAGCCTTCTGTATTCTGCGCATGTTCATTTCATGGCGCAAGCCTGTCATGTCTATGAAGTAACTTCAATCTATGCTGCTACACCTATTACATTAAATACAAATTAAATCTGATAATTCTTTTAGATTCCGTCACTTGAGAGTATTCTCTTAAGAATATTCCCTCAATGATATTAGTAACAGCATTTCTTAAATAGTTAGCAACTCTCGTGGATTTTGCCGTCACTCCGAGCAGATAGACCAGTGACTGGTTTTGTGCCCAGACTTCCCTGGGATTTGTACTTTACAGCAACAAACTGATTTAGCCGTGCCAAGAGGAGTTTTCCTATGGACTTATAGTGCTGTAAAGATAAGTTGTTTGACTGTCTAACCTTTTTGTTACTTTCTATTTAGTAGTGTACACTTTTCATATGCATATGATCAGGTGAATACATTTTTGATATTGTTCTGAAGCTATTTTCTTGTGGCATTGTAAATTAATTACTATTTATAACTGGGAATAAGCCACAATTAAAGATAAAAATACGTTTATTGACGTTTCAATTTCCAATTCGGAAATCGTTCTCAAAATACAAACAGTAAATTAAACAAATTTTGTTTTTTGTTACATAGTGAAAAAATTCTTCTAATAATTTAATTTTATCTGACTCATTTATATTGACAATTCAGACATACATTATGCATTTTAAAGTAGACGACTTTAAAATTATATTGCCAATATTGTTGAGTTGCGCTCCTGGGACGACTTTACTTATAAGATAGTTCATTCGATTACATGAAATCAACTTTAACTTGAGAATATCCGTCAGAAAAAATCATAGCATGTAATTCGTCTTTAAAAAGACAAACACATGACATGATGACAGTAAAATTCTCCTGTTAGTGATTCCATAGTAAATTATGAGGGAAAAACCAGGAAAAACACCTCATAATACTATCCCGACATTGTAAGTATTTGTTCGTGAATTTAGTTTACCTTCAACAAACATCAAAATTCTGATTTTATATGTTACGTTATTTAAAAAATATAAACGATGTATCCTCTATATGTTATATATTAAAAATAGGGAATTTGATAGATCTCAAATATGTAAACACGCATGGGATAATGAACATAGGGTTCAATGGAATAATTCAAATATAGTCCTAAAAGAAACGGATGGTAAAAAAAGAAAAATCAAAGAAGCGGCTCTAATTATGCTAAATGAGGCCAATTGTGTCGCAAATTCCTCGGCAGAATGTAGTAGGATCTGGTTACCAATATTGAAAGAGGAAGTTATTAATAAGAAAATACCAGTATTAGTAAGTCAGTAACATATAGAGGATACATCGTTTATATTTTTTAAATAACGTAACATATAAAATCAGAATTTTGATGTTTGTTGAAGGTAAACTAAATTCACGAACAAATACTTACAATGTCGGGATAGTATTATGAGGTTTTTTTCCTGGTTTTTCCCTCATAATTTACTATGGAATCACTAACAGGAGAATTTTACTGTCATCATGTCATGTGTTTGTCTTTTTAAAGACGAATTACATGCTATGATTTTTTCTGACGGATATTCTCAAGTTAAAGTTGATTTCATGTAATCGAATGAACTATCTTATAAGTAAAGTCGTCCCAGGAGCGCAACTCAACAATATTGGCAATATAATTTTAAAGTCGTCTACTTTAAAATGCATAATGTATGTCTGAATTGTCAATATAAATGAGTCAGATAAAATTAAATTATTAGAAGAATTTTTTCACTATGTAACAAAAAACAAAATTTGTTTAATTTACTGTTTGTATTTTGAGAACGATTTCCGAATAGGAAATTGAAACGTCAATAAACGTATTTTTATCTTTAATTGTGGCTTATTCCCAGTTATAAATAGTAATTAATTTACATTTTTGATATAATATAATTCTAAAATATTGGGGAGGGAAAATAAATTTCATGTTTTTATTAGGGTTTTAAATAGTATAAAGAGTCTGACCAAACTCACTTTTTGATATAATATTTTTTTAATACAATACATTTTGATATAATACAATTTTGATATTGGGAAGGGAAATAAATTTCATATGGTTTTTAAAACATTATATAAGGAATATGTTACAACTCACTTTTTATCTATGACATAAATGGTACTAGATTTATCAATTTTGATATCTTTACCATACTGTCACTTGTATCTCATTCTAGTAGAACTAAGTTATATTAAATTACTAACTTTTAGTGTTAAGACTTTGGCTACCATACGGACTATTCTAGGTTTTTACTGAGATTTCACACTTTATTTGGCCAGTGGTAGTGACTATTCGCTTGTTGAGGGGCTATTTGGTCCTATTGTATCTTTACACACCCACTACCACTGTTATTTAGTTTTTGCATTATATGTAAATTGTTATTACATGTATACCTATATACACATTTTTATAAATATATTTATTGTTATTATTTTGAGTTTCATTTCAGTTTCTACTAACCAGTATTTAATATAGCAAGACAAGATTAGTATTTATTATTTTGTATTTCAGGTTATTATCTCCAGTATCATTTGTTTCCAGTCATTTGTTACTTCAAAATCTCAACTATCGTTGAGTTGGCGCCCTTTTTCCACTCTTTTTATCGTCCTTTTCTATAAATTTATTCCCAGTGACCTTCTTTAGTTGTATCACATTTGATATTAACAGGTCTCATTTCGTTTCTTGTCTCATTAACTCATTATCCTTGCTATCTGCTTTATATCTTTAAAGCCACAATTCAGTGCATTGAAGCTAGCCCGAACACTCACTTGAGATTTAGTGTCTCTTTGGCCATTTAAATTTGTTCCTCTGAGCTTAGCCATATTTTTAGTACTTTTCATCACTTCTCTTCGAGTTCCTCTGAAATTCGTAAGTTCTACACACTTCCTTATATCCAATACTCCCGGAGTATTGAGGTTTCATTGGCCAGTACCAAAGATAAAAGATGGAAGGTAGACATGTAAGTTACCCAAAAGAAGACAAACAACAGACAAAATAATAGAAGAAGATCACCTGTATGATGGCAAGATGAACTGCGGAAGATGATAAACAATTGGATCCATACTGCACCAGGCTGTACGCTTTAAATACTAACAGGAAAGGCATATAATTTGCAGTGGACTTATAATGAACTGATGATGATCAAGTATTCTCTTTCTCGTCTTTATGTCTTTAATTTAAATTTACAACCCAAATAAGACTTTTCCACTTTCATTAACGTTTTTTCACACTCAGTAGCAGTAACCTAGTTCTCGAAGTTCTAGTTTCTCGAAAAATATTAAAACTTCAAGAAATTTTAAATCTGCTTTTAACAAATTCTCTTAAAATAATTTTAGTATATCACGATAACATACGGAGCATTAGGGGCACTATTGTGCATGGGAGTTATTAACCTTGTTTTCTCTTATTAAGAACTCTACATCATCATATAAATTATATTTTGGAACGGTATTTATTTTTTATTAAATTACATTTACACCTACCTTAACAAATGCTTCTCCTGGAGTATCACAGGAAAATTTTAAGTTCCTTGTCTTGACTACTACTACAGTTAATCTCTCTGCTGTCGGAAGATAACTTAAGGAAAACATCAATTCTCCGCACTCGGTGCCTTTCTGTAAGAAAATAATTCTTAAATCATGATACATTTATAAAGTATATCAAACAATTTTCCTTTATTGTCTACCAAATTCATTGTAATAGGTGTGTCTTTATCAAGTTTTTATTGGAACTTTTATTTATTTAATAAAATATTTTTAATAAAATATTGAAATATTGAAAAAAAAATTAGATACAAATTTTATTTAAAACTGAGTCTGTGCGCATAACTGACATTTAAAATCACCGGTCACTTCAAGCAATGTTTTTAAGAGAACAGTTTATTCTACACACAAAGTGCTGATATATACTATATATATACATATATATATATATATATATATATATATATATATATATATATATTACAGGATCCAATTTGTAAATAGAATACATCTTGGAGACGGCTCTCACCGTATTCCCGTCCTCCTCCGCCAATCCTCTCGGTCCAAGTCATGCTCCTCCTCCAAACCTCTCGATTCCATTATGATATGATATTATGATTCCATCATATATACTTTTGGACAAAATTCTGTCACCTGCATCTTTTATTATATTTTACAGTATGAGTAGTGAAACCGAATCAATCGGGGGAGTCGGTTTCTTTACCATGGCAATGAATACCAGTTTAATTTAAATGAATACCATGACAATATCAATAAAATCCTACAAAAAAATTAATGCATGAAAGATGTAAATGACCTAAACGATAATATCGTAGAAGCTATTCAAAAAGCTCGAGTAAAATGCTGCCTTAAAAGACGCCAAGATGAAAAAATAACCATTGAAACAAAGCAACTAATGAAAAATAGAAGAAAATCAGAGAAAAAGAAAGCAATGACGAAGAAGAACTGCGAAAAATAAACAAAGAAGTATCAAAAGGTATAAGGAAAGATTTAAGGAAATTTAAGAATGAAAAAGTCCAGCGAACTATAGAAGAGAACCTGAAAGTCTGAAAGTTCTAAGAAGATGACTAAACAATGGAAAATGCGAAATACACAAACTAAAGAACAAAGAAGGAGTCCCCACATCAAATAGAGAAGAACTACTGCACATAGTTGAAGACTTCTATCAAGAACTATACACAAGCCAAAGAGAAGACCAAAAGAATTTGGAAGCCGCCGCACCACGCAAAATTATCAACCAGGGTTTAGAGCTCATGCCAGAGATCACACTCAGAAAAATCCAGGACGCAATGAAAAAAATGAAAAACAACAAAGCGCCAGGAGAAGATGGAGTCGTAATAGAAGCTATAAAGATGAGCGGACGTGCCCTCCTCAACTAAATAAAAATGTTGTTTTTCACCTTTGTCTAACAGATTGTTGCATACCAAAAACATGAAACAATGCAGTAACAATTTTACTACACAAGAAAGGAGACAAGGCGCACCTAGAAATCCATAGACCAATCAGCTTATTGAATCACATCTATAAAATGTTGACCCGAATAATTACGACAAGACTTACAAAGTTAGTACAAACATTATACCAAAACGGCACAATGCGTGTAAAACTACATGATACCAGAGAAATTCATGTCAAGCGAGGTGTAAGACAGGGCGACACTCTCTCACCTAAATTATTTATACCGGTGCTCGAATACGCGTTTAAAATGCTAAAGTGGGAAAAATGAACAAATAAACAAATGACAAAATGAAAAGTCGAAAGAGGTCTAAAATGAACATCAGTAAAACCAAATTTATGACAAATTTAGTTATCAGCAAACCCCTGATCATCCAAAATCAAGTGGTAGAATTGACAGAAAGGTACATATTATATCTTGGTCATGAAATCAGAATAGGCAAGGACAACCAGACCTGCGAATTTCAACGCCGAATAACACTTGCTTGCACAGCGCATGGTTCACTACGAGACATCTTTAAGAGCAACATCCTGATAGGTATGAAACAGAAGACATTTGACCAATGTGTTCTTCCTATTATGACATTGTAACGAAAATATTTTGCCTACCAAAGGGTTCATTAATACAGGGGGTTGAAAATTGAGGGAAGAAACTAAAGGGGTGCAGATAAGGCAAGCAAAATAATCGCTACTTGTGCGAAAGGCACTCAGGGTTTGGTAGGAGAGCTGGGGTCGTGAATAAGTAAAAGATAAGGGGGTTGGATTGGGGCAACTACAAAAAATGAAATAAAGGGGTCATTAATCTCTTGGGATAAACAAAATAAAAATAAACAGGAAACACCTCAAGGAATTTAATATAAAGCGCCACTTGAGGTGCCTAATTATGCCTATTACAACCACTAGTTGTAACTAGGAAAATAATTATAAAACATCAAAGACATATCTTTTTCAAATAAAACACAAAAAAGGATTATTTCAAAAAAATTAACAAAATGTTAAGAAAACAAAATTTAACATTTATTTTTGTGTCACCACAAACAGTTATAAAAAATAATGGAACATTTTTACAAATAGATCAACAGAACAAAAATAACAAAAAAAAACTTACATGTGTCCTAGCCGTTAACAAACTCTGTTGCTACAAATCTTACAAAATTGAATGGAGGTTAACCTTTTTTTTTAAAAAACAAAACAAATAAAATCAAAATAATAAAGCGAGCTGTCTTATGTTAACATACAAGTTTAAAGTTTAAATTGACAGTTAAACTCAAAACCCAAAATTTACAATATTTAACATTACTACTTTTAAATTTTAAAGAAAGCAATTATTATTTAATCTGTCTTTACTTCAAAATTTGAAACAAAATTTACCTTAATTCACCAAATCACACTTTGAATATTCTGAAGGAATATTCTGTGAAGGTGAATTTGGATCCATACTGAGTTGGTGACCTGAGCCTACCTCGACCAAAGTAAGAATGGTCACACCTGACTCCACCAGCAACCCAAGTACGAATGACGAATTTAAGAATTCGTTCATATAAATTGAAACCAAGACAAAAGCTGACATAACAAAACACAACGAAATTAAAACGTAAAAGATTCCACTTCTACAACGTATAAAAAATTATACCACGACTTCGAATAGAACATTAAAAGAAATTGCCAAAAAAGTTAAAATAATAAACAACTCTAAAATGGTTTATTTTAACATCTAGCAATGCAAATACAATTACTGAAAATACTTTTGCGTATTTTAACTTAAAAGATACGAACTAACAAACACGGAAAAAATTCTTCATTTTATTTTTTAAACATATATAAGGAGATTTCAATATATTTCATATACGAGGGGATCTCAATATAAAATGCTACAACATACGGAGCAGAAACTCTCACGATCACAAAAACAACGGCACTTAAAATGCGAGTGGCACAAAGGCGCATGGAAAGATCGATTCTCGGCGTGACAAAAAAAGACAAAATAAGGAATCAAGACTTACGGAAAAGAACAGGTATCACTGATGTCGTCGAACGTATAGCCAAGCTGAAATGGAATTGGGCATGTCACATAGCGAGACTGAAAGACACAAGACGGACCAGAGCAAATTGACTGACGCCCAGGAGAAGAAAAATGCAGCAGAGGACGACCACCAACACGCTGGATGGACAACATTAGACGAATATCCAAGAAAAGGCAACAATAAGCACAAAACTGTGAAGAGTGGTGCAAATAGGGGAGAGACCTATGTCCAGCAGTGGACAGAAAAGGTTGCATGATGATCTTTTATTTAAAAAATTCATGTCTACGGTGTACAGAATCGCTTTTTTTTTCGTTTTCCCCCTACGAGGGGTAAACTTTTTTGTATATTTTTGGAATTACCAAATTGACATTCTCAGCAAAATTTGGCTTGTTTGTATGAGTTTTAGAGGTCTTATCTCTGACGACTAAGATGAAGCTAAATAAAAACTGAATGAGAGCCGCGTATGATAATAGATTGTGTTGAAAACAAGAAGAGGAGACCAACTTTTAGCAGTGGATCAAGATAAATGAAACACAACTAGTTAAAAACCAGTGAAAGAGACAAGTTAATGTGCCTGTCTTAAAATAATTAAAAAATGCTCGACAAATACATAAATTTCTGTTTATTACAACGTATCTGTTAAATATAATGCAAGAAAAAAAATAGTATATGTTTTAAGAAGTACAAACATAACAAATTAACTATGTTATATAATTTTTTTATACACTCATGGAAAAAAATATCGAATATTTTGGAATTTTATAATTTTTTTTTTGAAAATAAATTCTGGTCAATCAAGTCGTTTATTGTGAAAAATAGTGTATTTTAACAATATTTAATGAACAGTTTTAAATTTTTATGCGGAGAAAATTGCAAAAAAAATAATGCTTAATGCTAGATAAATGAGGTTTTTTTATTCTACACTTAAATGCTTACTTAAATTGCTTAAACAAGTCTTTTTAATTAAAACAAGTGCATGATCAGTAACGAGTATTCCTCCCTCTAGCTTTTTTTACTGCCTGCATCCTTCTTGGCATGCTTGCAAGTAAGTTTTGGACATACCCTTAGGAAATAGTATTCCATTCACCCTGTGCAGCAAGCCGAAGCTACTCTATCTTCTTTGGAATGGGATTTCTTTGTCGTATGCGGCGTTTTAGCTGACCCCACATGTGCTCTATTTTATTTAAATCCGAACTAAATGGTGACCAATCCAATCTTTGAATTTGGATCTCATCAAGATAATTACTTACTATGGCTGCAGCATTTGGTCGAGCATTATCGTGCATTAACACGAATCTGTCATATCCAATGTAACCAACATATGGCCAAACATAATCTTGCAGGATATTTTGAACGTAAGTGTCACCAGTCATGCGTCCAATCACTTCCACAAGTGCGGTGCGTCCCTCAACACTTATACCTTTCCAAAGCATTATACCACCACCTTCAAATCTAACCGTCTGGTAAGATTGCAGGTGGCGAGTCGTTCTTCAACTCCTCTGTAGGTGTGTTTTCGACCATCTGGCTTATATAATGAATATTTAGCCTCAATTCCTTGAACAATGTATTAGATGAATCAGATATAAATTGCTGCTTAGAAAATTTTTACAATATTTTATATGATGCCATCAA